TGCTTATAAATGACATTTACTTTCTTTCTTTTATCCTTATAATGTTCCTATCAGATCTGTATGTCAATTATACCCTTGATTAATTTTATCTCCTTGATCCGTCAGTTTCTGAACAGAATGCATTCATTTCTCCAATGACATTTGTAAATTTGTTTACCTAACTTAGAAATTCTGTCAGTTTAGAATTATTTTATAAACCTATAATATTTGGAACATAAATGCTTCTGATGATTACAATTTCTTGATCTTTGGTTTATTAATTTTTTAAATTGTACCTTCATTTTCTGCTTGTGAAATTTTTTTATCTCCTCTGTATTTTCAAATATATAATTGCTACCCTATAATTTTCTTCTGATTTAAGTTACCTAGATAGATCATTTTCCATTGCATTATTTTGAAAATATAACTATTTATCTTGACAATATACTGTAGGATCTCATGTTTTAAATTCACATCTGAGAACATCTGCTTTTCATTTGTGTAAGCCACGTATCTATGTTCAATCTTCTTCTAGAACTTATTTCATCCACCTTAGTTCATATATTATCTTTACAAAGTTTTCTTTTTGTGTTTGTTCTTTCTTCATTCCTTTCCTAAATTTCTTTGAATGCATTAATTTTCTTCTGCTAGTAAGAAAGCTGTGCATTTTTTTACTTAATCTTTGGTAGCTATCTCTGACTTATTAAGAGCTACACTTAATTATATCTTTTGTTTGCCTGGTAAAATGAAAGTGTTAAGTATACAACTAATTGGGAACTGCAGGAATTTTAAAGAATAGGTTTTTATAAGCTTATCCCAGTGCCTAAAACCACATAAATTAATTAATTTTTTTTTTATTCAAGCAATCTTTAAGAAAAAGCACAAATTGCACAGAGCTTTCTTCCTTTTATTTTTAATAGTTTCATCAGTAATATCACATATTTTATAGGTAATGAGTAACAGGATATAAAGTTCCTGTAGTCAATGCCTTCATAATGAACAACTGACTGTCTTTTTCTTGAGAAACACAGTGTGAAATATTGGAATTAATATAAAAACATTATGAAAGCAAAAAGAGTGAAAAGATTATCACAAAAATAATAGGATTTAAAATATCTCTTTTCTTCCAGGTGAGAGGGCATATTTGCTTATTTGCTTTAATACAGTTTAGGTGAATAAACACCTGCTCCAAGACAGAAATATGTATATTATCTGCAGATAGGAAATTATGGAAGTCCAAGGAAATTTTATTGTGATGCCTCTGGCTACAAATAATTCTCCTGGCTCTTTCCTCATTGAAGTCTAGCCTGCTTTTATTTTTCCTTGGACTATGCTGATATACGCTACTCCTTCACTCAACTCCAGGAACTAATGCTTTTTTTTTTTTTAATTTTACATAGAAAAAAAAAATGACCTTTGTTACCAGATATAACTTAAAAATTTCTTACTTCTCTTCCTGCTTGTACTTACTGCAAGAGTAGATTAGAGTCTGACCAATCATTGTCCTTCCAACATGATTATCTATATAACTGTAATGCAAATATTTGTGTGTGGTTTATACAATCATTTGTTATTAGACTGCACTCTGGATGGAGTTTGCCTCCTTAGTCTTATACAATTTATTTATATTGTTTTGAATATTTTTCCATGTCACTGCCCATGTCAGAGTAAGCATTTAGTTAAGGGCCCTACCCAAGTGTCTTTCTCTCTCTTCTGAAATCTTATAACAACATAGCCATACCTTTTTCATGGGGCTTACTATTTATAAAGTTTTATTAGAATTACATCTGCTCATATGCACATATGTACACAAAACTGTTATTTTGTACCCTTACAGGGTAGATGTTCAATTAACACTTATCGGATCAAGCGACTGGAAGTACACATTTTGCATACATGGGTATTCCTTTCTGTGTTTCAGTACAATGTTTAGATAATTTCCTAATGTATTAGCATTACCAAACAGTATCATTTGTTCTTTCACTTTTACACCTTACCAAAGGTACCTCTTCCTCACTCTTCACTAAGCTGATCACACCACTCTTCCCACACAAGAGATACAGAAAACCTCTTCCCAGTCTTTTATTTCCATTAGGTCAGTCTGTGGTTTCTCATTAGTGTGAAATCAACAGCACCAGCATAATTTCCATGGGCTAAAAGCTCACAAAGAATGTTCAGGGATGAGTGAATTCTTGCAAAATTATCAAAGGTCTTTCTGGCAATTGAACAGAGGTAGAATTAATATGGAGTTGATAAATCAATCCTATGAAGTACTTCTTTAATTTTAACTTGTTGAGCTTTACTAAACCAAAATAATTCATTCACACTCAGGTAGGAATTATACTCTAATTTGAACAACATAACCAAATACGTATTCAGTCTTTCTGTAGCAGTCTATTAAAATTAAACAAATTATATGGCTACTGTTGATTACTGTTTTTTAGAAATACACTATTTGACTAAAGATTTTCACTGGAAAGAGTATGCAATGGAAATTAGTCAAAACTAGAATTGAATCCTAAATCTACAATTTATAAACTGTTACTTAATTTCTGTGATCTTTGATTTCCCAGTTTGTGAAGAGGGAAGGTAATCTCCCTACCTCTAAGGATTATTAAGCTAAAATGAACTATAATTTAACTGGAGCACCCAGCACAGGGATTTTGCATAATACTCACTTACTAAATTGTATTTACATTCCAAAGTATGAAAACCTTCATTTTCTTGCTTTCCACTATCTCATTTATATTTAAAAGGGAAAAAATGTAGATGGCTGAAATTACTTAAGTCACTTAGATTTTGTTCAATCCTTCTCATCTCTACTTCCAATGAAGACTAGCAGAAATGGACAGAAACATTGTTGTTGGATATTATAATGACCCAGTATATAAGATGGGAGCTCTGGTGGCATAGTACTTAAAGTTTTTGACTACTAACCAGAAGGCTGGCGGTTCAAAACCACCAGCCACTCCTCAGAAGGAAGATTGGGCTATCTACTTCCATAGTGATACCACCTCAGAAACCCAAGGAGGGGTCACAATGAGTCAGATCCAACTCCACAGCAGGGAGTTTTGTTTTTTTAGTTTATATTTAAGATAATAAACATTGTTCCAGGCCAAAAAAAAAAAAAAGAAAAAATTCAAATCTTGGCAAGAAACCTTTTATTCTATGGTTTTCTAACAATTCCTTTATTACAAGATCTGGAATAAGGAAGAAATTGTTACAGTAAAAAAGAACAAATGAAAAATATCATATACATAAAGCTAAGACATTAGACCTTGTCTTGTAGATCCATCCATTCTAAGAACCCTTTCCTTTAGTTCTTAAGCTGATAATGGATGAGAAAAATAATCTCTTGCTCTTCTCCAATAAAGACCTGACAATAAATCCTGCTTTTTAAATTAAAAATAAAGATTAAACTCTCTCTAGTTTCCTACCTGGCTGCACCACATAGATGTTGAAAACACAAAAGTGGGGTGTCAGCACAGCTGTAAATACCTGAGAATAAAAGCATAGCGCCAATACATGTAAATAGAAATTCTGTTCAGACTTGCTAGAGGCTTGGACAGAAACTAACAGAATCTAACTGACTTCAGTAATTTTAGCCATCTACATTTTTTTCCTCTTATATAAACAATGTTTTGTTTTTCCTTTTTAAAGGGATTCACGTGAAACTTTTACTCATTCTCCTTAACAGACAAAGCGAATACAATATTCAATTTACATTTTTGTTCCAAAACTATTATTAGGTGGGAGAGGCATCTCTGAATGCTTAAGAAAACTCTAAAAAGACTTTTTTAAAAAGCAAAAAAAAAGGTAAATAACAATATGTGCCCTCAATTTCAGACTCACTATTGTGTCATTTTCTCTATAGTATTATAAAGCACAGAAAATATCATGATTAAACTTTCAAATAGGAATTTACCTTTCAAAAGTCTGAGCTGGAAAGGAGAGAATTTCTTAAGATTTCAGATATCAGTTTCATCTCATAAGTTGTTTTTGGTAGTGGTGAATTCTAAGATGCTAGAATAAAATCAGAAATTTGTCTGCATAGGGAGATGAGTAGCAAAGCAGATTAAACTATCAAAAGGGTAGGTGTAAGCAGTGAGAAATAAAATTATGTGTAAGACAGATATTACTGAAGATCATATATCAGATATGTGATCTCATATAACACAGAGTTCCAGGATTCTTGATACTACTGCTCAGTGAAATCATTGGGACCCACTTTCTTTTCATCCTTCCCTCCTCCCACTCTTTATGTTGGCATCATCTTTAGAAGGCTAATAATATTACTTTGGTTCCAGCCATTGCATCAATACCCAGCAGTGTAAAAGGGTTATGTAACCATCTCTTCCTGGTTTTCTTAAAAGCAAGAATAATTTTCTCAGTGGAAACCACCTTTACTCCCACCTTCTTCTCAGTTCTCCTTAGCTAGAACTGAGTCATGTCCCCATTCCTAAACCATTTGCTGGCAAGAAGAATGGGATTTCGATGACTGGATTTCATTAATCAGTGTTTGCACTAAAGGTGGGAGAAGTCTTTCCTCTGTACTATGTAGAGAAGAGGTAGATACAAGAGCAAAATAGAGTTTTTTATTAGAAAGAAAAGAGATCCAAGAGTAGATGGAGGGGAAAAAGGGATGTGAAAACAAAATAGTAAAAGAAGGGTAAATCAATTCCATGTCTAATATTTAGAAAAGAAAAAGAATGTATAAAATCTTTGAAATTGATGAGAATTGAAATAAAGTGACAAAATACTGAAATATAACCTTTATTACAATAGTTCATATTGAGCAGTATAAGTGAAGTTTTGCAGCAGTATGGTACACTCCACAAACATTGTGCAAGCAACAGAAAATCTGGAGTAAATCAAAAAAGCCATTTCCAAAGTTATTTGTTGATAACATTTACAGAAATTTCCCTTTATGTCTGGAAGAGCAGGGGAGACTTTGGTGTGAGTAGATGATAAAATATAATGGCTTTTTTGTTTGTTTGTTTCCATTTGTGCTTCTGAAATAGGTTTCTGTTATCAGTGGAACCTATCTTGGCTTGGATTACATGAGTAAGCAAAATGGAGGTGAAGGTGGCATCATTATCAATATGTCATCTTTAGCAGGTAAGGACAATTATAATGTTATTATTAACATGTTCGTATCCAAAATTTTGATCACAAAAGTTAACCTTCAAAGTATTTATTATTGTCTCATGTTTGAAATTGAAGTTTTGTTTAATTTCTGTTTGTTTGTTTCGTAATGATTTTATGGAATTTTCTACAGAATGATATCACAAGTTTGAAGTACGTATTTACTTTTGTTATTTTCAATTAAGATTTTATTCAGTTATCTTACTGTAGTATGGTTAAAGGGAGCTCTGGTAGCATAGTGGCTAAGACACTTGCCTGCTAACCAGACAGCTGGTGGTTCAAACCCACCAGCCACTCCTCGGAAGGAAGGTTGGGCAATCCTACTTCCGTAGTGATACTGCCTCGGAAACCCAGGAAGGGTCGCTATGAGTCGGGTTTGACTCGACGGCACATAACAACAACAACAATAAAGTATGGTTAAAAATATGATAACATATTTTCTACAGTGTCATTATTCTCCAAAGTGGCTGTGAGACGCCTAACTAGTAGTGCATGTGAATGTAACTTTGTTAAAGTAAAAAGGACTAAAACAAAGTTAAGGTTTCTTCTCCCATGTGATTTTAGTAAAACCATGTCACTTTAAAATATGGCATACATATTTGTTGGGGTATGCTAAACTGCTATAATAAATACACTCAAACATGTACTGTTTTAAATATAGTATAAGCTTATTTCTCACTAATGTATCAGCCAAGTAAAGATTCTTGGTGTAGGGTAACTCTTCTACATCTAGTCATCTGGAAAACTAGACTGAAAGTAATTCCGCCATCTTCAACATGGAGCTGCCAAGGTTACTCTGGCCCTTTAACAGAAGAGGAAAGAGCATGCTTTTTTAAAACCCCCCTTCCAGTGATGGCAAACCTGATTTCTCTCCATTCTCTCCATTCTATTAGAGAATATGACCCCATAGCTCATCTCAATGCAAGAGAGTTTAGGAAATGTAGTTTAGCTGTGTGCCTGTGGAAACAATGGATTTCAGTGGAAAGCTACTTATCTTTCCCACAACATGAAATCTAAAACCATGTTTTATTCAGGACAGTATGATTTACTATGAGCTGGCATATTATTGCTCAATAGCAGCTATAAACATTTGGTAGGAATTTTTGGAGCAATTTAGCCAAGTGACTTTACTTTTTAAGTAATAGAAGAAAGCCTTAAATAATTAGTAGTTCTTCAGTAATATAAACACCTGTAAACCTGTCAAATGAAACCAAACCAAACAGACAAACAAACCCATAGCCCTCAAGTTAATTCCAAGCCATGGTGAGTCCATTCCAATTCTTGGTGACACCATGTGTTATAAAATAGAACTACTCCTTAGCATTTTCTTGGCTGTAATCAGATCTCTAGGCTTTTCTTCCGTAGTGCTGTTGGGTGTGTTTGAACCATCAACCTTTAAGTTAGTAGTCACACACAAACCATTTGTGTGACCCAAAAAACCAAACCAAACTCATTGCCATTGAGTCGATTCCGATTCATAGAGACCCCCATTGGGCTTCTCAAGCTGTAAATCTTTACAGAAGTAAATCGCCCCATCTTCCTTCTGCACAGCAGCTGGTAGGTTTGAACCACTGACTTTCTGGTTAGCAGCCAAATACCTTATCCACTACACCACCAGGTATCTGTAAACTTGCCACCAGTAGACATTTACAGAAGGATTTCTCTACAAGTGCTACAAGGTAGACCAGTATTTAATTTTCTCAGAAACAGACTTGCATCTCTGGATTTCTTAATGACAAAATAATATCCCTAAAGCTATCACAGACCTAATGCTTTAACTTTTTCAGGGTTAACTGGTTATTTTTCCTAATAATCTCTGACATGTACTTAAAAATTATTTTAATTCTGAGGGTACATTAAAAGGTGAGGTGACACTTGAAAGAGATATGACTCCAGAGAGGGCCAGATTTTAGGTCCTAGGGAATGCAGGATGAGTGGCTGGTGGGTTTGAAACACCAGCCTTCTGGGTAAAAGTCAAATGCCTTAGGCATTGTGCCACCAGGTGATGATCAAGAGATAATGCCATGGATTTTCACTCTAAAGGAAGAGGGCTAACAAAGATTGGAGAACCGGAACCTACACAGGGAGCCCTTGTCCTTATGTCACTGGCGATGCTGATTTCAATCTTGGGAAGGATGGAATGACTCATGGTTGGATCCATTTGGGACTCTCTGGAGAGGCTCTATACTGTAAGAAGAAAGTTTACTGGCCCCAAACAGCAGGAATGGAAAAATGTAATGTAGTGATACCTTTTCTATAATAATGATTTGCATGTATTTACATATATAGAGCACTTACTGTTTACCTGGTACTGTTTTAAAACACTGAGAACTCATCAACTCATTCAATTCTCACAACTCTATGAAGTACATTCTATAACCTCCATTTTGCAGTTGAGGAAATTAAAGTAGGAGAGTTTAAGTACCTTTCCCAAGCTTACACAGCAAGTAGAGACAGAGCTGGATTTTAAGGGCAAGCAGTCTGACAAAAGGCCTCCTAAGCTTAACCACTAGATTATTCATTTCTATCTATAAACTGATCTATTAAGCTATCTCTCTGTGTCTGTCTCAACCTTACACGGAAGTAAAAGAAACTGAAATCCTGTGACTTGAATAAACTAATGAAATTTGTTGGTCTCTTCAGGCCTCATGGGCACTGCTTTAATCTCAAGGTTACGTTACTAAAACTTCAGAGAATCTTAAGCTCTTGTCCCCCATTTGACATACATAATATAGTCTTGAAAACATTTGGAAGCTTAAGAGAGTCACAAGTCAAAACATGCTGTTGAGAAGAGCAATTTAAGGCTTAGAATGTGATGCCCACTTTGCTTTCTTGGCTAGGAGATTTCTTTATCACACTAGCAAACCCTAGTTGTTAACTCTGTTCTTAGTATTTGGAATCATCTGTGGAGCTTTCTCTAATCTTGCTGATAAAACACTGAAAGGATATAAATTCAATGATGAGACTTTTTTAAGTTTTAAATTACCTTTCTTGCACTGTTATTTTCTCAATTTAGTGACTATCATAGTATTCTAAACTGCTTCTCCCTCTGATATCAGTTCTAACGTATGGTACTTAAGTCCATTAAAATGGTGAAGTAGCTTAAGTTTATTGCTGTCAATTCTGCTTGAATTGATACCCTATTTCAGAAGAAGCCCTGGCAGTTAAGCACTTGATTACTAGCACTTAACTACTAGCCAAAAGGTGGGCAGTTGTAACGTTCCCAGAGATTCCTCAGCATCAGGGACTGGTGATCTGCTTCTGAGAAGCAGCCATGAAAGCCCCACGAAGCACAGTTCCACTCTTTGTGCAGGGGGTTGCCATGAGGTGGAGCTGTTTAGATAGCAACTAACAACAACAACCATTTTGGAAGTTTGGCCTTAGCAAACTTACCTGGTGCAGTTAAACTGTTTCCTTATTGTGACCAGCCAGTCTAGACAGTCCCTGCTACTCTCTCCCACCCAGAGCTTGTCATAAACATGCTTTCATCTCAAAAACAATATGAACATGTATTACTTTGTATTATGCTTGCTTCCCAAGAGCTTCATTCTTCCTATAATGAAATTAGTCTCATAAAAATTCAAGATACTATATTAATGGAGGGAGCTCTGGTAGCATAGTGCCTAAGGCACTTGACTGCTAACTAGAAGGCCAGTGGTTCAAACCCACCAGCCACTCCTCGGAAAGAAGGTTGGGCAATCTACTTCCTCGGCAACCCAAGAAGGGGTTGCTACTTGGGTCCGACTCAATGGCACATAACAACCACAACATATTAATGGAAGAAGGTAATATAGAAGCCTTTGGTCTTCACCTCTTCCTCAGAAAGGGCATCAACAATTTTATGCCCTTGAGGTCATAGCATGTAGGCAGGAACAAAAATGTCTTGAGAAGTAATAAGAGTCAAAACAATTCTAGAGTCTATTTCTTCTGTTTTCCATCCTTCTTTATTCACAGACTTGTTTTCTATCCCTACCACTCTTACTGCTGGTCCCATTAGAAGAACAGCTGTGGATAATAGTCAGCTCAACCAAGGGCCTGTCCTCATGATCTCCTGCATAGATTCACTGGAGTCCTTCACTGTCATAAGAAAATCTTAAGTTAACACACTGGTTTGGGCAGAGAAGTTAATGAGTAATGGCCACTGACGTAGACAGAGTGTCACATGCAATTAATAACTTTAATAAACAGAAGAGTATGTAAAGTGGAGAGTGATTCCTCATCATATTGAGAGAAGGGTGTGCTCTAGTGTGGAACACCAAAAGTGTTCTGGTCTTTGTTTAATCACCTGGGCTATTTGATACAAGTCTTTCTCCTCTATTAAGCATTCATTCATTTTGTTAATCCATCCTAAACTATATATAATTTTTTTAAAAAAAGTGGAAAAGATCAATGGAGATAATTAAATAGCTATGCTTCCATAAGACAATTGTGGTTGTCAAGTGTGCTTCTTACTTTATTACTTCAAGATGTGAGAAAAGAAAAGTAGTTGTTGTCACAGGAAAGGGATTTTGCCCCACAACTGTGCTCTCATTTCTTTTATACCCAGATACTAAGGTCTTGGTATTCACTAGGGCCGTTGTCTGTGCCTCATGAAAAAATGTCAGTCAGTAGCATTATGTGAGAGTTACTGCACTGATCTTATTTAGTCTGAAATTAAAACTTTAGAGCCTCAAGAAAATACTTGAAGATCATAGATATATTTTCTTAGCATTTCTTAAATACCAGCCCAGTGACATACCCACTTAAGCTACCAGTTTTTCTAAAAAAGCATAAGTTTGTAGTTTGTATCAAGATAAAAATGCTGAAGTGACCACTTTAAATAACAAATTCAAATTACTTGAAAGTAATTTGAACATTTACAAAAAAGAAATGGTAATATAAAATAAATAGGAAAAGTTTCTACACCAAGTGATAAATACAAATATCTCTTATTAAGATGACAGAACTAAATGATTAGCATCATGTACTCGATG